CGATGAAGAGGAGCAGGCAGCGATGGGGCGGCCAACGCCGGCCGACAGCGACGCTGCACCGCCGGCCGACAACAACGCCGCACCGCCGGCTGAGCAGCTGTCTGCTCCGCCGACCGTCCCCTCTCCAGCGTCGGGAGCAGAGATGGAGGAGGCGCTGCTTCGCCTCGCAGAGCTGCTCTGCGCCACCGCCTCCCTCCTGGGCGAGCTGCGGTGCTCGCGGCCGATGGCGGGAGGGAGAGAGGAGGCGCGGCGCTCGCCCGAGCCCAACGCGCCGCCATTCCTCCCACGGATGTGAGGGACACTTCCGGGTGTGTCGTCACTTCCACCAGAGGAGCAGTGACCGCTGGGAGCGACGTCACTTCCGGGCCCAGCGTGTGCCAACCCGACGACGCCGCGTCATCAGCGCTGCGTCCCTCACCGCCGGGTGACAGCTGTTGGCAACCTAGCACAGCGCGTCATCAGCGCTGCGACCGGACAGTGAGGGCGCCATTCTTACTGTAACCGGCGCCGGGGCCGGCACATGGACCGACACGCAGCTCGCCGCCTTTGCTGCTCTGGCCAAAGGTTGGAGGTCGGGAGACCAGGCCCCTGACATTTCGTACATTTACGCGCTCCGGATTAATGATTTTTTTGTTGATATTTTCTTCGTTGTCGTCGGGGAGTCGTGACTGTTGTTGGGTAAACTGTGTGGAGCTTCGCTCGTGAGTGTTGTCAATGTGTGTGCGAAACTTTGCTTGTGATTGTTAACAATGTATGGTTTATATTGAGCTTTGTTCGTGATTGTTAATGTATAGCTTGTGCTGTCATTGTTAACGATGTATATACTGTATGGGGCATTTATCTTGAGATGGTGACATGCTGCCAAGGATTGGAATTGTCATGCTGGCTCTCAAATATCTTGGGGTGCAGATCCTGACCAGGATGTCCCAGCGGGTGTTGCGTGTCTAACACGAGAGTTGTGGTCCCGTCATGCTATAGCTGACGGCTTGACCTGACAGCCCGGAGATTGAAACACTCCGTGGCATGTCTAGCCTAGTGGGCTGTGCGCTCACATGGCTCGGAGAGTGTGGTCCCGTCATGGAATAGCTGACGGCTTGACCTGACGGCCCGGAGGTTGAGACCCTCCGTGGTACGTCTGGAGCAGTAGGCTCACCCTGACGGCCCGGAGATTGAAACACTCCGAGGCGCGTTGAAACAGTGGGCTGGAGATTCGTGGTGTTCAGGTGTAGTTGTCCCGTTACGTTGGGACTGTATCCCTCAGTTGTTAGGGTGCATGTTGTGCAGGGAGTGAACAATGGGTCGTCTCAGATCGGTCGGTATAGCTATATGCTGCGATGCGAGTCTTGGAGAGAGATTGGGTCTCAGATCGGTCGGTACAGCTATATGCTGCGATGCGAGTCTTGGAGAGAGGTTGGGTCTCAGATCGGTCGGTACAGCTATATGCTGCGATGCGAGTCTTGGAGAGAGGTTGGGTCTCAGATCGGTCGGTACAGCTATATGCTGCGATGCGAGTCTTGGAGAGAGGTTGGGTCTCAGATCGGTCGGTACAGCTATATGCTGCGATGCGAGTCTTGGAGAGAGACTGGGTTGAAGTCCCCCCCGATATGGCCGACGTGCGCGGTTTTAGGATGGAGACGCCACGTTGGAAAGGCGGGGGGTGCAAACGGTTGACATGTAATGTGGGTGGTGGTCCTCATTGAGGGCTGCTGGGACGCAAGCACGGGATGCCTTTTGGAGATGCGGTTCATGCGTGCGGCCACCATTTATGGACAGGAGCAGGCAGATTTATTTTGTTTGTGTCATGTAAATTTTATATATATATATTTTTAAAATGTAGATACTGGAGCAGCCCTGAAGTACGACTTCTTTGCCCAGTACATGGGTCGGCCCTGAAGTACGACTTCTCGACCCGGGACGTAGACAGACGTCCGGATAAGTGCGTGTAGAGGGATGCTCGACATGTTGGTCTTCGCCTTCTCTCCACCTGACGGATGGGAGGCTGGCAGGGTGGTGTGGATCCCTGCCATCCATGCGGTGATTGTGTGATTTCGGTTCGATTACCGGTGTTGGTTGGGCATCCAACGCGTCGGAATCTATATATTTGTTGTTGTTAATTCCCCGTTTTCTATGCGGATCCCGAGGAGGGCTAGGTGGGCCGCGGGTCGTTTGTTCACGTGTCATTGCTTCACCTTTTTGTTGATTGATGCTTGTATATAGTGTAGAGTTGTACAGGTTGGTTATGGTATTTATGGTTGCTTTGTTGTTCTCTTTTCTTTTCCTGTTGAAGCTCGCGTATTTTTTTTTTCTTCTCTCTCTCCCTTTCGTTAATTTAAACTTTCTAATTATTGACAGCCGGGACGGCTGGAGGCTACATAGAGGGGGGTAATGTAGTGACATAAGAAGGGAGGGGCTGCTGTAGGCTCTGGGTTCCCAGGTGGGTCCAGACGCTTAAGCCTCTGGGCGCCACCAACGGGGGGGGCTGTGTGTGCTCTGTGGGATGTCTGGTGGCGCACACGGCCCCACCCCTCGTTGGGGACTGGGCATATAACCGGAGCTCCCTGGACGATCGGCCCAGTTGTAACTCAAGACCCAAGACCCACGACCAGCCATCTGAAGACCCTGGGATGCTGTGAGAGCCAGCGCTGGGACTCTGGAACTCCCGACGCTACGACCTTGTGAGGGCGAGTTCCGGAGCGTAGCCAGAGTAGAGTATCTAGGCTGTGTAGCTAGGCTGTGTACCTAAGCTGTAGCAGAGTACCAGGACTGTTGGAGTGTTGTGTTGTAATAAAGAAGTTACCTCTACAAGTGTCTCCGGAACCTGTTACACAGGCACTAATTAAGCTCAGATCTGCTTAGCTTTCGAGGTCCGACCAGATCGGGCGCATTCCAAGTCCGGGTGATTTCATAGGCGTTGAGGGTTATAGTGATGCTGTTTTTAACAGTTAACCTATCTAAAATAAGCCACTCACTTATTCAGCACATCCAATTGTATTAATTTATCTCCTACTTTTGAGTGAAAATAAAAGTGTGTATTGAAAAGTTTTTTGTTACCAATTTTTTACCAGATGTGACCTTCGACGCAAATGATAGCACAACAAAGTAGCTTATCTTCTTGGTTCTTTCGGTAAAGTCACGTAGAAGGGAAGTAATAAAATAATAAAAATAAAACATAATAAAATAATTCTCACGACGTTTCGGCCACAACGCAAGCAGCCGTCCTCAGGTGAAAACCAGGTCTGTCGAGGCGACAGCGTCTGAATGAAACAGCACACGAACTTGGAGCATATATATAAGCTGGGCGCCTTGACAAATGAATTTGCATATCAAGAGGACTTTAGCATATTTATGGGAAATGCAGGAATGTGATTAGTACTACATATGCCTGTGCATTATGCAGGATTAGCAGCATCAAAGGGAGGGGATGTGGGAAATGCAGGTATGTGAATAGTACTAATTATGCCCGTGCATTATGCAGGATTAGCAGCATCAAAGGGAGGGGATAGGGGTAGCATTAATAAAGGGAAGGAGTGTTAATAGTATGTAGCTGCAGTAACTAAAACCAACACGTAAACAACTAAAGTATAAACTACATAGTATCATCAGTATACTAACTATACTCTACAATAAGCTTAGTTCATCTTCTTGGTTCTTTCGGTAAAGTCACGTAGAAGGGAAGTAATAAAATAATAAAAATAAAACATAATAAAACAATTCTCACGACGTTTCGGCCACAACGCAAGCAGCCGTCCTCAACGCAAGCAGCCGTCCTCAAGAGGACGGCTGCTTGCGTTGTGGCCGAAACGTCGTGAGAATTGTTTTATTATGTTTTATTTTTATTATTTTATTACTTCCCTTCTACGTGACTTTACCGAAAGAACCAAGAAGATGAATCCCTGCAGTCACGAAAGCTTTAAATCGAAAAATAAGCTTAGTTATAAACACTAAGTAATACATTACAATTCTACGTCGTAAAAATTATATAATATGCTTCCATCTAAATTTTATTCTCTTACATCACACGAGTCGAAAAGTAGCTTATCACATGGAAATTCATAGCAGCCGAATAATATATATTTATAGCAGCCGAATGATGTACGCGATCGAACCGAAATACCTTTAATATGAATAATATTGGTCGCGAAAGCCTTCTTGTTCTTGTGACTCTATGTAACCCTATGGGTCTCTATGTAAGTCTCTGAGTCTCTCATAAAAAATATCTATGGGTCTCTGTGTAAGTGTATGGGCCTCTGTAACTATGGCTTAGGTGTGTGATGTTCTGGTGGTGTACGGCTGTAGTGGTGGTGTGTGTTCAGACACCGTGGCATCACTCATATCTTCCCTTATTATTTTACATTGAGTCGTGTTTAACAGTGCAACGCTTACCTCTCTACACGATAAAGGTTTCCATGCAAAAGCAAAGCCTGAGATTCGCAGTGCTTCAACCGTTGGTCACTGGTTCGCACAAAACCTGCGCCACCCCGCCCGCATTGCGCATCGCCCAGAGCCACATTCCCACAGAGGTGGCGGGGGCGGTGAGCGAACATTGATCTCTTGCCACGCTCCAGGCTCAGGGCGAGGCAGGCTAAGGGCGAGGCGTGAGTGTTTGTCAGCGACAATTATCTGAATCGGTCCTGGGTCTCCCCTAGGTCGACTCGGCCTCAAACGACTACCTGGGACGATGTGAAAAACAGTGCCACTAGGGAGACAATTGCGGTCGAGCGTGGTGCTGGCCACCCACCTCGTGTACTTGGCCAGTCTTCATATGTGCTCGCTAACAGCACTTGCCCTAAGTCTGTTACAGGCTATACGGGGGATCTTGGTCTTTGTGGGTGACAGCATGGCTCGACGCCCACTGCATAATCACTCAGCACACAGAGGGGTGGTTTCCATAGCGACCTCACACTTAGACGAGGGCGAGGCTCCTCATTAATGCGACGCCTCCTCCTCGACTCTCTCAAGTCGCCCTCTGACCGTGTGACCGCACACTCTTCGCTCCACAGCGATGGATTCCCAGGCTCCGGAAGGAGACTTCTCATGCTCCATCTGCCTGGAGTTGTTCAAGGTCCCTCTGAGTTTGAGCTGTGGCCACAGCTTCTGCAAGTCGTGCATTGAGAGCCACTGGGCGGTGCAGACAGAGGAGACTGGGTTCTCCTGCCCCGAGTGCCGTCGGGTTTATTACCGCAAACCAGAGCTGAGCAAGAACGTGTTCATAGCCAACATGATGGAAATGCTCACGGAAATTCCCATAAGCCCACGCGCGGGGACCAACAGCCCACGTGGAGGGATCAACAGCCCACGCGCTGGGATCAACAGTCCACGCGGAGGGAGGAGATGCGAGCCTCACGGGCAGGGCCTGGAACTCTACTGCAGGACGGACGCACAGCTGATCTGCCCGGGCTGCACGAGCTGCCACAGGAGGCACGACATCGTCCCGGTGCAGGAAGAGCAGGAGGATAAGTCGGTGAGCGCGGGGCATCCGATCCACGTCGCACTCTCTCACTTCAACCAATCCTCGCCCCCCTTTTCCTGCTGTTATGCTGGGAGGCGCTTCAGTAAACACGTGAACTACAATAGTAGTAGTTCACGTGTACAATAGTCTTTATATATTTTTATTCGGCACATTACTAATTTGTGCAGTGAAAGATGATCACGTTGAACACGTCGGCTTTCGCGACCAATTTCATCCATAATAGAGGTTTTTTGAGTTAGATCGCATAAATATATTTAAATGTGTCGTTAAAACCCACCACCACTGCACACAGCCAACTAGTAAGGGTTGTTACGTGGTTTGTGGTGTTTCAAAAAGTCAGTGCACCCTAAATCATATGGGCCCTTACTGAAAATATCGTTAAGTGAAGGAGACTTTTAAGACAGTCTTTGACCTTGACTCAACTCAGGGTTCCACTTAACGATATCCTTCACCCAGGCGGGACCCTACCCCATCCTTCACTGTATCCCCACAACTACTGCATCCTCCTGTATTTCACTTGCTGGGGAAATCTGGGCGATGACCGCCCCTTCTCGCAGTCCAATCGCCCGCAATGATGTGTTCAAAACTTGCATAGACAATTGTTGGTTTCATCTTACAATGGTGTCCGCCGCCGCTAATGAATGCCAACTGATTGTTGGTCCCAATAGTGACACTATAATTGGTGCGTCTGCGTGTGAGGTAATTAATGGCACTCGATATCGCAAGGGGACCAACACCTGTGCTAGCAACGGAATCGTCATCGACTTTCCTTCTAGGGTATGTACTCTGGCAGCCTTTCCTGTCTCCATGTCAGGCTGCAAACACGTTCCTTCGGAGTGGGCAGGTAGGAACTTGGTTGGACAGCGCATTCGTGCACGACAGACAAATATGCACGACAGACAGACAAATAATCCCTGGTGGGCAGTGTGGAATCTGTTGTTCCTACCTGTATAACAGGACCCTGCGGGGTGGGCTGGTAGGAACGAATAACCAAAGAATATAAACATAATGTATTATTACACTTGTTTAGCCAGGAAAGCCCCACTGAGTCGAAAGGTTTTTGTAGGGTCCTGCCAAGTGTTTGCAGTAGGGGGCGATGTTGCTACACCTAATCGGACGATACTAAGGGAGAGATTGAGGCCTAGTTCTAGGCTTTAGGCCTAGCTGTAGGCTTTACGCCGCCGTGAGTTAATTTTTAATTGAAATGTTTTAATTATTAATGTAAAAGCTTTAAATTTAAATGTTTCTATTTAAAAACATGACGAAATGTAACATTGTTAAACATCAACTCCGTTTCACACACGCGGGGGTACAATACGAAGGGAGAGTTTCAGGCCTAGTTCTAGGCTTTAGGCCTAGCTGTAGGCTTTAGGGTGCTGTGAGTTTTTTTAATTTAATTTCAAAGTTTTAATTAAAAGCTATCTCAGGGAATTATTAGGGCGCTGTGAGTTTTTTATTTAATTTCAAAGTTTTATTAAAAGCTATCTCAGGGAATTATAAGGGAATGTTACACGTATTTAGCCAGGAAAGCCTCATTAATTTAAATGTTTTAATTAAAAGCTATCCGAGGGAATTATAAGGGAATGTTACACTTGTTTAGCCAGGATAGCGTCACTGAGTCTAAAGGTTTTTGTAGGGTCATGCCAAGTGTTTGCAGTAGGGGGCGATGTTGCTACACGGACAGACGGACGGACAAACAGACAAACAGACAAACTGACGGACGATATAATCTATTGGTGTCTGGTCCACTTCGTTTTTACCAGTAAAAGATAACTTGACTTGAGGTAGCCAGGCAGCCAGCCAGTTAGCCAGCCCCCTTAACTATCGGCCCCTCCCCCTTGATTAGGCCCCTCCCCTTACCCCCCTCCATTAGGCCCCTCCCCTGACCCTCCCTCCCTCAGGCCCCTCCGCTGACCCCCCTCCCTTAGGCCCCTCCCGTGACCACCCCCATATCCTTAGGCCCCTCCCCTTGACAACCCCCATATCCTTAGGCCCCTCCCCTGACCCCCCTTCCCTTAGGCCCCTCCCCTGACCACCCCCTCCCATATCCGGCTCTGCTGGTCCTCTGGCTCCTCTACTCTCCGTTTCCTTTGACACTTGTGCCACCATCTCAAATAGCGGTCTTGCTTCTGCGTGTGCATGGAGGCACTTTGAGAACCACATTGATTCATGTTGATTCTCTGGAATCATGTAGAAGGCCATCAGCGATCCACCGTTGAGCACTGTGGGCAGCGCTCGAAGGCCCTCCTCGCTCCATCTGCTGACTTTGACGGTGGCTTCGAATCTCTTGACAAACACCGCCCAGTCGCTTCCGGTCACCGTAAACCCCTTCATGGGACCCAACCTTCATTGGCCACATGGCCAATGGCAGCGGCGGCTCTGGCTCGGGCGTTACTGTGCACTGCGCTTCAAGGGGAAGTGGAGCTTCAGCTCGCCACATGGAGGGTGGAGGCGGCGGCTGTTCAGGCCGTGCAGCATCGGTTCTTCCTCTCTCTCTTCAATGATCGCCGTCAGCAGTCAATCAATTGCGGAGGTAAGGCGGTCCAGTCTTTTAGCTATCTGTTGCCAGTTCTCTTGATTTTTAACCAACACAAAAGGAGCCCCCGTGGTAAGCATGTCGTCCACTGCTTACGTCAGAAATTGGCCCATGTTCGTCGGATTTGACTCCTACTATAGGAGATCCATGCAGCATTTTGCTACACTGGCTAAGCCATAGCATGCACAGACCGCTAATAAGTTTAACTGGGAACCCGCTCAATGGAACAAGTTCCTATTGGTGGGGGAGGAATATTATATTCGCTGGCCCATGACGTAACCGTTGGCTGACCAAACAGCTCGGTCCATGGCAGATGTTTTTATATGGAGATATGTTTTGGGACACTGGAAAGACTCCTAACCGATCAAGGGAAAAGAAAATCCTCGCACCTACTTCATGACGTATGTAACATTATGGGGACCAAGAAGGTTAGGACCTCTCCCTATCACTCGCAGGCAGATGGGATGGTGGAGAGGCTTATCCGTACGTTGACCACAATGCTCTCGCAGGCGGTAGAGGTTGACCAAACAAATTGGGATGCTCACATCCCGGCAGTACTCGACGTGTATGGTAGGGCTCCACACGCGTCCACAGGATTTTCAACTTTCTGTCTAATCTTGATTTGAAGCCTTCTTGACTGCAGGAATCCACACTCGCTGGTTCTTTCGGTAAAGTCACGTAGATACAGCCTTGACCCTGAACAACCCTTTGAGTGTCAGCTCGTTGACCTGCCGCCTAGGTAGGCTGCTTGGCCGACCTCAGTCAAATTGGTGCAAGAGGCCCGTGATATGGTGGCGCAAAAGGTCAATGAGCACTTAAAGTTAAGAGCTGCTAAACCTGTCTACTTTAAGGTCAGGGATGAGGCCTGGCTGCATTTCTCACAGGTCCCAGAGGGAACCTCTGCTAAATTACACCGACCATGGCAGGGTTCGGTGAAAATTGTGTAAATATTGTGCCCCCAGTACCTACGCGCGCAACTTGGCTACTGCCGGTGGTTTGTGCATCTGAGCAGGCTCAAACCCCATGTCACCCCCATCACGTGGCACACTTGCCTTGATCGCCTCCTTCATCACCGTTAGCGGGGTCTAGAGGATTGCCTTGCCTGCCGGTTTCAAGGACTAACTGTTCCTCACATGGATGCACCCCCTTCGCTGACTGACCAATGGACAGCCGAGCTGCAGCCACCGGAAGACGGGCCGATTATGCGGTCCCGAGCGTGTGCGAGGTCCTTACGGTGAAATCTGTAGGGCCACACTGTGGATAACTGTTAGCGAAAAAGTTTGAGGCGTCGCCAAGAATTGTCCACCGTACACTACCCTACAGCACCTTCGGGACATTCACCCCAGAGTCACCGCATACAACACATGCAAACATATTAGACGGAGGCGTTGTTCATTCGTTCGGTTCATCTTTTTTTATGGTTAAACAAGTTTGGTTATGTGCCGGGTCCTCCTCTGCAGTTGGGCCAACTCTTCACCCTTCACAGGTGAAAAAGACTGGATGAGGTAAATATAGCTCAACTTTATGTTTTATTCACAGATAACACTGGTCTAAACATTTTTAGACGTCTGCTTCAGAGATGGAATGTGCTGTTTATTATGGATTTTGATGTGCTGAATTCAAATTTGACAATTAAAACAACTGATTGGCTTCTGTTCCCAAAATATTTAAGTTTTTACATTTAACGTCTATGTATATTGTGTAAATAGAGTTTTAGTCATAAATTGTAAACCTAGGTTTTTTAATGTGTTTATAGTTGCTTTACATGATACCATGCCATCTGTTCTGTTCATGTAACACTTAAAAAATCAGCAAAAGGGTTATATAAGTAATATCTATTATTAATCAAAAGGCAAAAAACTATTACATATAAGTACGTAGTTGAATCCTTATTCAGTGTATACTCGGCGCTTCTTGGCTTGTATTCATTAAATGGAGCATCTCTTGTCATTGTCCAGCAATAGTCTGCAAGCAATGATGGTCTCCATTTGCCCTGATAGCGTTTCTTCATTGTTGGAATGTCCTGGTGAAATCGGCTCGCCATGCTCATCGCTCACTCCGCAGTTCGGTTGGGAAAAAATCTAGATGAGAGTGAATTTTTTTTTATTTTTAGTGACATGTTACAACCAAGGCTTTTGCATGCCTTGAGGTTTTCCACCAACTCCCTGTAGTTGTCTGCCTTGTTTTTTCAGAGGAAATGTGTTGCCACTAACTGTGGAAGGCTTTTCCATGCCGTCTTTTTATTGCCACACAGTGCACTGTCAAATGCATCTCGAAGAAGTTCACGAATCTGAGGACCAACAAAGAAACCTTTCTTTATCTTAAGCTTCACTTATCCTTGGACATTTTCCACGGAGGTACTGGAAAGCTGCTTGTGTTTTGTCCATCGCTTTGACAAAGTTCTTCCTCAGACCCAGCTTGATGTGTAAGGGTGGTAACAAAATCTTCCTTGATT